CTATAAACCACATTATTCATACTGAATTGTGGTTAAAATATTAAACTAAGAAGGAAATACAACGAATGTCCCGTAACTGATCCAGTCGTGATTGATACGGTCATGTCTAGTATTCTATGGAGATTCATAAACAATCGTCAAACGTGCAATTAGCCATAATTACCTAAGTTATGGCCAAATTTCTAGTCAGTTGCATAGGCTATATAGCATTATAGTTTTGGTTAATGGCATTTCTCATTTGAAAAGCCAATTTTCAATGCATTCAGCCCTATGCAAGTAGTTAGAAATTTGGCGATAACTTCGGCAATTCTGGCCATTCGCACGTTTTGACGATTGTTTTTGGAAAAAAGGGGGCAGCCGAACGATCCCATAAACTACATTATTCATACTGAATTGTGGTTAAAAAATGCTTTAATTTTATTACTATAACGACACACACTTGTTGTGCAACAAAACATTATTATTTGTAACGCATATATTTTATTACAACTTACATTTTTGTGTAGTCTTGAACGCCTTTTCAACATGTTAACAGTGACCACATCTGTTTGATTCAACTTGCAAGTGATAAATTTAAAGAAAAATATGTTTTCGCTGTTTTTAAGTGTATTCATAATGTCATCCAATCCTATTTTATTGGCTTTAATTACATATCTATCGACTGACCACCGGATATAGTTAGAGAGTAATCGGCCACAAGTCGGGCGTTTATGGGTAACCAGATTATACATTGAATTAATGTTTCGATATAATTCTTTAAAATTTTTTGCAAATATTGTGGATGAATATGGTTCAATTGGATTCTTTTTTCTACTAAAAAATAATAATATTTATATTAATTAATTTTAAAATGTATAAATTTCACCAGGTATTTTTGTAATAAACAAGGATCAAACAGCGATGCTACCTCAATAGTTAATACGTTAACCACAATTCGGGAAATGCATCAAAAATTTTTAATTCATAAATACTATTGTTAGAATACTTTCACTATTGTTATTTTGAGAATTTTGTATGTTTTTTACAATAATTAGTTTTATTTTATTTACAGATTCATTGTGTATATCTCTATATACAAAGCATTATACCATTGAAATAACATTACTCTCCTAGACTTAGCATTACTCATGTTATTTCTATGCCATAGATTTAGCATTATCCATAGGATTAGCATTGCCATAGACTTATCATTATTCATGTTAAAGTATAGCCATAGACTTAAGCTGTAATCCAATGCCGAACGATCCTATAAACCACATTATTTATACTGAACAGTGGTTAAAAATTAAGATTAAGTAATATAATTTTTATGTTCATATTAATTTGTGTTTTGTCGCAACAACCTCTAATCCACTGTTAAATTTAAATAGGAGAAAGTTTATCCACTCGATGCTACATTTTACATATATTAATTGTGATTAGTCATATAAAATTTTTGATGAGTACTTAAACTTACTTATGAAATTACTAAATTTTTACAAAAATAAAAATAAGACTTACATAAAATAAAGTATTGTAAAATTGAATATTTTGGATTAATCACGCTAGCCTAATTTTTGAACTATAAACTAAATTATATTTAGTGCATTATATAAATGTTTAGTCAAAAAATTATTATATAAAGTTATTTCCACGCCATCTTTTAAACAGTAAATTCACTGACATGTTATGTTATATACTTTAGGACATTATAAAAATACATACATTGTGTTTACTTCAAACAATTTTAAACCAATAATTCCAACGCTATAAATATCTGCTTTTATATCATAGTTTCTATAGAGACCCACTTCTGGTGCCATATATTGTGGAGTTCCCGCCCCTCGTGTGTGACTTTGGGACGCTCTATTGTGTTCGACAGCTAAACCAAAATCACCCAGTTTTAGAAATCTATTATTATTGCCATTGAGTAAAATCATTATATTGTCGGGTTTAATATCTCTGTGAATGATTGGAGGGTTCAATCCATGCAAATATTGCACACATTCTAAGAGTTCCCGAAATATTTCGCAAGAAATGAAATACTCGTAAATATTCATCGCATCCGTCGGTTGTTTGTCAAATACTTGTCGTTTGTCTTTGAGTACAGCTGTGAGTGTTTGCGAGCAGTACTCCATCTGAATGTAGAGATGCATTGCTTCTATCCATGCAAAACTGTATTTGACCACAAAATCTGAGTCCAGTTTTTGCAATGTTTTTAGTTCCTTACGAACTCTTATCTTCTTAGCTTCACTATATTCTGTTATTCATTTTATTAATATAATGTAAATATAATTTTTGATAACTATATAAATTAAAATAAATAAACTTACCTTCATATTTCACTTTTTTAATTGCATATATTTTATTATCAATTTTATGTATTGCTTTAAATACACTACCAAAACTACCTGATCCTATTGGTTCAACTTGAGCAAATTGATTGATATAGTTGTAATTTAATTTTTTCAAATTAATTGTATTGTAAGTCATTTGGCATTCATTGGCGTAAAATTCAACAAAATTATTATATTTTGTTTCATTAATTGCAAGTTCTTTAGATATGTTATGTATTGTATCATTCATTAAAATGCAAATCATTTCATTTTTATAATGTATAAAAGATTTAAATTTTTGTATATATTGTATTGGATTTATTGTCAGCATAAGTTTCGGATCAGTTGTTACAATTTCTCTACTATTTTCGTAATATTTACCGTAGAAATACAAATTATTAGTTGTCAATAAATATGTGCCAAAAGTATTACAACAAATTTCTTTTACATCAATTATGATTGAAATCAATGTGGGTTTAAATGTCTTTATATTATTTATATTGTAGCCCCAATTTAAAACCAATCCATTAGCTGTGATGGCAAACGAATTATTGTTATAACAATAAATGGTTTTTATAATCGCATTATTGATGAATATTAATTCAAATGGTTCACAAACATAATCATTATTATCTCCGCAACCAATTTGCCCCCACCTGTTGTCACCCCAGGCATACACCCGGCCATCACTGGTGAGGGCCAGTGTGTGATGAGTACCACAACTGAGTTGTTCGATATTTTTATCATTAAAATAAGATATTATATCTGGCTGTAGATAATCTTGATTAGTATAATCACTCCGTGCTAATTGTCCGAATGTATTACAACCCATGCTATAAATCCTATTTATGTCTTTAACTGCTAATACAAAATCCAATCCATTGACAAAGTATTGTATGTTTTGATGACATAATTGTGGTATCAGTTCTGGTGTTAGCAAAGGTTTGTTGTGACCCAAACCCAGACATCCATTACTATTATTGCCTAAAGCATAGACCATATCATCATTTGTTATAAGAAGCACATTTATATTATCATTAAAATCGTAAAACACATTTAATTTAGACACGTGTTCACTAATGTTTGTCTTAATTGTAGCATTAATATCTACTTTGCTAGATAATTCACTAAATTCATATTTTATTATTTTCTCAGTTGGGATAGTAGTGTCATTGTTTTGTTGGTATGGATTTTCAAACTGATGCAAACATTTTGTTTTAAGAGTTTCAGATTTATTATTAACTGTGATTTCACTTAATTCAATTGTATTATAAGTTATTTGATATTTATTGGCGTAAAAGTCAATAAAATTATCATAATTAGTTTTAATTAATCTGTGATGTTTTAGTATTTTATATATTTTGTCATTAATTAGAACACAAATAAAATTAGTTTGATAATAAAGACATGAATTAAATTGTTGTAAATCATGACAAAATTGTTTACATAGTAATTGTTTTGGACATTTTTCAATTACTTCGTCATTATTTTCATAATGTTTTCCGGAAAAGTACAAAAATCCTTTGTTTGTTAAGAAATATGTACCAAAAGTACTGCAACTTATTCTCTTCACATCAGTTATGGTTGATATCAATCGTGGTTTAAATACTCTATAATCGGTTATATTGTGTCCCAATTCACGACATCTATTGTCGCCCCAACTGAAGACCTGTCCGTCGGATGTGATTGCAAACGAAGAACCGTAGGAACAATATATGGCTTTTATAATACAATTATCCATAAATTGTAACTCAATTGGTGTTGACATATATTTATGATTATCTCCGCAACCAATTTGACCAAACCCATTTCCACCCCAGGCATACACCCGGCCATTACTAGTCCGCACCAGTGTGTGAACATAACCACAACCAATTTGCACAATATTTATATCATTAAAACATGATATAATCTCTGGTGTAAGCATATATTGATCATGTTCAATACTACGGGCCAATTGGCCATATCTATTATCACCAAAACCATATATCCTATTCATATCATTCGCTGCTAATACAAAGTTCAATCCATTGACAAAGTATTGAATTTTTTTATTACTTAACTTTGGTATGACTTCAAGTGATAGTATCGGTCGGTTGTGTCCTAAACCGAGACAACCGTCGTAATTACTGCCCAAACCATAGACCACATCATCGGTTGTTACAAATAATACATTTATTTTATTATTAAAGTCATAAAAGATATGTAGTTTCAAAATATTTTTTCTTATAGTTAACTCAATTTTATTACATATCTTAAAATTGTCTATTAATGAGCACATGGTTGAAAAATAATCAATTTACTTGCAAAAACTTAATAAATTTAATTACAATTAATAATTTCACATATTTAATAATTTAAAAATTATAATTTGATAAAATTTAATAATGCGTAGTATTAATGATATAAAGAGTATTTATATTATAACTAACAGTTAAAACAAAACTATTTGATATCATGTCAGCAAAAACCATTGGAAACTAGGATTTATTGGCAAACATTTTATAAAATGTCCGATAATATCTATGGTTTTATTATATTCTTTACTATCATTATATTTTTGTAAAGGTAAATATCATTATCAATAAAAATGTAATACCTTTCTTAGTAAATTAACATAAAATATATTATTAATAAATGATTAATAATAATTATGTTCAAATTTGAAATTTGCAAAAAGTAGAACTTATATAACCAATTTTAAATTTAAATTCCTGATATTTGTGTAATTTAAATAAAATCAAATAAATATAATATCAAAAAAAATTTCTGAAATATATAAAAACTTATAAAATATTACGCATGATGCCACAAATCGTTCAATTATTATACTATACTTAACATTATCAATAGGATTAGCGTTGTCATGACATTGTGTGACAAAATTGAAAACAATGTAAAAGCTTTCTATCATATTAGTCTAAGTAAGTATCCTTAAAATATAATTTATATGTTGAATTCCATAGAATAGATTGAAAATGGGGAGGGATAGAATAACATCAATATTTTATAATTTATTAAATTGTGATTAAAATTATTTGTTTTAAACTAAAATTCTCTGAAATGCTTAAGAGGACAAGAATTGTTTAAAAGATCGTTCGGCTACCCCTCCCCCTCTCCCTGCCCCGCTCTATGGGATTTAACATGGAATTAAATCTTAAGCCTATGGCTAAACGTTAACATGGGGCTAGTGTTATCCTATGGGTAATGTTAAATCTATAGACAATATTATTTATATAAAACAAATGCTAATCCTATAGACAGTGCTAATCCTATGCATCACCCGAATTGTAATCAACGTATAGAGTCCCTGTGTGTGAGTAGTTTTTATCTAGTTTCAGACAGTGAACTCAGCAAAATCGTAGAGACTGTGACGATAATCGTTGCTAATGGTGAATCACCACCGGTAGACTGAGCCACAAATTATTCTATATCTGAAAGCGTATTGTTTGTCTGTATAATTAATTGATGTAGATTATTGCTCGGCAATCTAGTTCCTTTTGGGAACTTGAAGTAGAAAAGCCAATTGTCATAAACAACATTAAAATTATGTTTTATTATTTTACACTAGTAATTTAATTAAGACATTAAGATAACAAAATAATTGTTTGAATTCATATATGGATATACAAGGGGTGAGAGGGGTTGGAAATATGGTCATCAAATATGATTGAGTCAAATATTAATAAAATTGTTGATAATCGCAAACAATACCACAAATCTCATTAAAATGTGATTTAATAATTAAATTCCTTTATTTTAATGACATTTGTGGATAGACTGAAAGCCAACTACTATTAAAAATGGGTGAGAAACTATTAGGTTGACTTTCACGTGATGTTTCTTGTTCAAACTGACAAACCTAAATTTTTATCTACCGTTGCGCCACCTATTTATGGCACACTGTGAATCTGTATATGTGATATGCTAAAAAGATTGCCGAGCAATAATGTAGATAATATATACATTTATTACATGTTATTTTTTCTGAATCTAGATGTCCTCACCCTATAAGTATCACAAATTTATTATCAATTGAATATAATATATAATTAAAATATAAATACCTTAGCGTTAAAAAATTTACAAAATATAAATTTCTAAATAACAAAAATAATTATAATTTATCCTTTTTATTATATAGTTAATACAATTAAAATTGATATAATATGTTAATTATTAAAAAATTAATATAAAATTTATAACATCATAAGGTTTAAGTTTATTTTTCATAACAATTATTTAATTGTGGAGTAAATTAATATTAATAAAATAATTTTAATTAATTTATCAAGTTATTATTGCACATTTTTTGTTATTCTAATGTAACAGTAATATAATATTATCTAATAAATGCATCATGCAAAATGCATAAACGGTTCATTTTAGTGCAATGATTTACATACAAATATTGATTACGTTAAATTGGTAAATGCAATTTTAATAGAGAAAAAGTCACAGTAAAATGGGTTGTTTTTAGCTTGTTTCAGCCTATTTAACATCAAATAGTAACCTTCTTCAATAACGATAGTAGCTGTATTCATAGACCAGTCGTTATAATTCTGAAGTACTTGATCACAATTTGGCCGATTGTCAGGCATAGAGTCAGACATGTTGTTAATAATTTCGTATAGCAAATCATATTTTATAGGAAATGAAGAAACATGATTGGTCATTTCAACACTAAAAGACAAATCATTTTTTGTTGTGGTTAAATGGATAGCACAAAAATATTACTACAAAAACTATAATATTATAATCATTGCTAGTTTAAGAAAAGATATAGCTAAGGTAAATTTTACGTAATTATTGAATTATCGTTTAAACTATTATTCAATATACATTATTAATAGGGTTACTATAATATATTAATAGCTATTTTCCCTTTTAATTATAAATAATAAGTAATAGTAAGAAACATATGTTTATAATAATCCCTTTATTTTTAAATTATTTTACACTATATATGACTAAAACATAGATTGAATAGTGTGAATAAATTGAAAATATTATTTTACTAAATTTAAATATTCGTGTAAATTTATAGCAAAGTTAAATACGATCATTAAAAATGAATTTTAATAATATATTGAATGCTTAATCTATATATCAGTCTATCTGTTCTAGAATTATAATAAACTTTATATTTGACTGAGTATTACCTTTGTAAAACAATTCAGAAATGATTTTTGTAAATATGCTAGATGTAAATATGTTTATAGTAGTAATAAATTATTTTAATTAACCTTGTTTGTAGTCCAAAAATTTGCTTAGCAATTATACCCAAGTTATAAACATAATCTTTAATGCCAGGGTCTTGAAATAGAAATTGATTCAGCGACATAGATTTGTTCGGCTTTATACCGCGCTTGTGTTCTTTGGGTGGGTTTTCAGTTGGAGGACCCAAACCAAAGTTACCAAGTTTTAAACGTCGATAATTATCTCGATTACGCGATATGAAAATGTTTTCCATTTTTAGTTCAAAATAAATAATAGGTTTATTAATTTGAGTTATATATTGTACGCATTCTAAGAGATCACGAAATATTTCGCAACAGAAAAAATATTCAAATATATTAATATTTTGTGTCGTTTGCGCATTAAATACGCGTCGTTTGTCTGGTAGGATATCCCAGAGTGTTTGCGGGCAATACTCCATCTGAATATAAACTTCATTATTTGTTGTCCAATCATTGTAGTGCTTGACCACAAAATCTTCGTTCATTGTTTCAATAAGTTTTAACAACGTTTTTATTCTAGTTTTCACAACCCCGTTGAATTCTATAATATAAATGATATATAATAAACTTATATGAATTTTACCAAGTGTGAAGGCATATAATTAAATAAACTTATTTAACCGTAATCACAACATTTAGTATACATTTACCTTTAAATGGTATACATTTCATGGCATGTATATTGCAATCCACTATATTTCTCACTTTAAATGCAAGATGATAACTTCTCGTCGGATTGGAAATTGATGCTTTATAAATGGTTTGCATTTTATACATAATATGGATTGTTTCATTATAATAATCTATGTCTTCTTTGCTATTATTAGGATTTATATTTACGCTAGCAATATATTCTGTCCATTTGATTGTATTATACGTAATATTATATTTATTTAGATAATAATCCACAAAATTATTATAAATTGTTTTGATCATTTCGCCAGCTTTCGATATTTTATACATTTTATCTTTAATTAAAACACAAATGTAATAATCATTACAATAGGACTTATATTGTTGTAAGTGATCAATGATTGTTTTATTTGTTATCTGTATTGGCTGTGATTTAATGACTTCACTGTTTGACTTAAAATATTTGCCGCAAAAATATAAACCATTTGCAGTTTGAAAGAATGTACCGAAACGACTACAAGTGATTGTTATCACGTTGTTTATGGTTATCAGTTGTGGTTTCAATACGTTATCGCGGTCTACATTGAGACCTAATTTATGGTCAATATTCTCACCCCAACTGAAAACATGTCCGTCAGATGTGATGGCAAATGACGAATAATCGTGACAATAGATTGCTTTGATTATAATCTTGTGGTCATTCGCTGTGAATTGAATTTGTTGAGGTATATAGTTACAATTAATTTTATCATCGCAACCAATTTGTCCAAAACGATTGTTTCCCCAGCCAAATACACGGCCATCACTAGTTAGTACAAGTGTATGACTAGCACCGCAACAAACTTTATCTACAATTATGTTATTAAAAGTATCATCACCAGTTATTACTTCCGGTTTTTGGTTATATTGATGATTTTCAATAAATCTAGCTAATTGGCCATATGTATTATTACCAAAACCGTAGATTTGATTAATAGAATTCACTGCTAACACAAAATCATATCCATTGACAAAGTATTCTATCTTATGATCAGTTGGTAGTGGAATGGGTTGTGGTGACAGTATTGGCCGGTTGTGTCCCAAACCCAGACATCCTTTACCATTATTACCAAATCCATAAACAATATCATCTGTTGTAATGTATAAAACGGAAGTTTTATTACCTTCATCAATAAACACGTGTATTTTAAAAATGTTTAATCTTGGTATAACTTTTTTAATTTCATTAATAATTTCAGTTTTGTACAATAATTCACTCATATTTATAATTTTAATAAAAACTATAAACTAGTTTAATTAAAAATATAAACAGTAATTATAATAATTTGAAATAATTTAACCACATTTAAAAACATTAATTTATGTGACAAAATAGATGTAAATGTGTTTAATTAATGTAATATATTTAACGTTTCTAATACTTTTACTTATAAACTTATTAAATAAGATATGTAATAATCATGTTTACTATGGGAACAATGGTTTATGTAATGAATTTCATACCTTATAAGATAATAAATATATTAACAATTTTATAAGTAACATATACTTTGATTTCATTATTTAATCCAAAAAATTATCAACAAATATAATAAAATGGACGCATTAAAAACAAGTTACATACGCGATTCTATAGCTCAAACATCATTCGAATAATGGATTAATAATTTTATATAGAAATGTAAATTTTGAGTAAGTTGATATTTTAAACAATTGATTTTATTAAAATTATCAGGTTTGTTAATAATATCTCCATATATAAAGCATTATCTATCATAGTGAAATAACAATATTCAAATAGATTGAATATTAAAATCACTCATTTTCATATTCTCGTCGCTATCCATATTTGATTTATTTAACAAATTTAGCTTTACTTAGATGTTTAGCATTTTCATAAACACAGCGTTACGCATGTAATAAATATAATAGAATCTTATATAAAATTATCAAAAAAGTATTTTTCAATAAAAAAAATTTCCTATAGAATTTTTTCCCAATGTTATGAAATAGAGAAATCCTCATGTTAGGATATTGCCTTAGAATTATCGGATCTAGGTCATTTTCTATAGTTTTGAGAGAAAGACGTCGAACAATTTTATTAAGCACACAATTAATATAGAATTGTGGTTGATAAATACTTATAACACAACATATGAACACTCAAATATAAATACAAGTTTTTTACTATTTAATAAACTAATAATATACAATACCAAAACTGATTATAATCTTACGATAAATGATCAGAGAATGAGTTCGAATAAACCTGAAGGTCGAAAGAGAGCGAAGACAAACACAGAGTTAAGTTATAATGTTCAGAGAAAAAGGACCCGCACAGTTGTGTCGGCTGGTAAACCTAGTAAACAAATCTACACTTTGGTCCATACGCTGAAGCAATTGTGTTTTGATGTATTGGCCGACAATCAAGATCAAATTAAAAGTTCGAAAGTAGCAGTGTCGTATGAAATTCTAGAAAAAGTGCTCAAAAAATGCAATATTGATCAATTGCTGCTGCTGGAGAAAATAAATCAAGTGAATAGTGTTTAAATTATTTATTATTTTTATTTTACGGTTAATATATTATTGTAAATTAACTCGTTGTAGCACATCATAGTGAACACGGATCCATTGTGGAAAATAATTTGCGGTGAAAAATACAGGGGTAGAGTGCCGGACATAGACGAGGACCAGAGTTGGCGCGAATTGTATTTTAGATGCAAGCAAGAAGATGATGATCGGCTTACAAGGGTCAACAAAGTTATTGCTATAAGACAATCGATAGCGACGCAGACAAGATCGATAATGTTGTTAAAAAGTTGCAATCCACAGCCTGAATTGATCGTCAAACAAAATCTCTCGGGGTGCAGTCAGACATACGGTCATAATTTGTGCTAATTTACCAATTTTGTTAAATGTTTTTTAAAAAATAAAATTAAACTCAGACAATACCGAGTTCAAATGATTGAATTTTTATTTTTGTGAAGTAATATTAAAATATATATTATAATTAACACTAAAATGCCAACTGTTGGGTAAAACAATTACTAATAACTTTACATAACTTATTTTAATTACAATTTGAAAACACATGTTATTATCAAATCCTAACATTATATTAAAATTATTGCAGAAAAGTTCCATTAACATTCCATAACATAAAATAACATTCATTGTTTTCATAACATTGAACATAAAATTGATAAAGTTGTTTATATAACGGGGGGTGTCCAGGGGGTTGTTATTATATAGGGGGTTGTCCACTAATCGGGAGGATGACCTCGTAAATAATTATATTAATGACATTAATGTTTAACGGATATTCAATAGCGTTATATTTATATAAACAGCAATACATTATAAATGTTGCTGCCAATTTTACAAATATATAATCTAATCGCATAATTAATAAACCCTATTATAACATAAACAATAAATATCATGTTATATTAAATAGTAATGCTATTATTTATACAACTGTTGGCTTGAAAACTATTTTATAACTGATAGCAGTGTCATAATATTCAACTCAAATAAAATATCAACGTTAATTTTATGTAACACTTGCTGCGATGTAAATTATATAACCATTTATTATATGGTAGGTGTGTTTGTGTATAGTGTATGAAAAATAGTTATCCCAAAAACAGCATAATGTCTACACTATTAGACAACTTCACAATATGTGACACAATCGCAGCGACAGACAAACAAAACATCAAATTGTGTCACATTTTCAACGACTGCTCGAAAGGCAAAGATGTGCTGTTCGTCACCGGCGAGGATCAGGTCTATGGGTTGGGCACAAACACCATGGGTTGCCTCGGCTTAGGCCATAACCTCCCGGTCCTCACACCTCAACTCATACACCAGTTATGTAAACAAAACGTACAATACTTTGCCAACGGATCCAGTTTTGCGATGGCTGTGACCGGCGATCACCGGCTGTACAGTTGGGGCGAAAATACGTGGGGACAGTTGGGTCGGTGCGGGTCAGTACCGCCGCCCGACCCAAACCACAAGTGCTTAACACCTGAGAAAATAACATACAGTGACAGCAACCGGGATATGACTGTCAGGCAAATAGCATGCGGTTATAACTACTGTCTGGCGCTCACCACTGGTGGCCGGGTATACGGCTGGGGGTATAACGGGAGCGGACAAGTGGGCTGTCGGGGCGGCCCCAGCAATAATCAGATCATATGTCAACCCCAGAAATTGTCATTCAGTAATGCCTACAAAATAACAGCCATTTATTGCCACTATTTCTCGTCATTTGCCGTCACATCTGATGGACAGGTGTTTAGTTGGGGTACGAATAGTGACCACCAGTTGGGACACGACTGCCCGGATAGGTGTGTATCTGAGCCTAAGCTGGTATCGGGACTGAATGGGGTTAAAATTGTGACCATTTCACGGACCCGTAGGGTTACATACTTTCATTCAGCCGAGGGTTGTGTGTATTTTTGTGGGAAATTTCAACAAAATATTACTCTAGTGACTGAAATTGTGCCCCAAAAATTGCAACTAGGTGATAATTATTGTGATCAATTAGCTACATTTAAATCATTGACTAATTTTTATGATTTTGTTCCCGTTTTGATTGACAATAAAGTGTATAAACTGTTGATTTCAAGCAGTGATGTGTTGTGTGAAACAAGATATGATAATTTTGTTGATTTTTACGCAAATGAATGTCAGATAACTTACAATACGTTAGATTTAATAAAAATTAATTTAAATAATTTTAGCAAAGATAATGAAATGGACACTGAATTTAAATCATGTGATAGTTTGTCATCATTTAATAGTGAGTTTTAATTAATAATTTATTTTATATTTTAATTAATTACATGTTATTTCATTTATAATCAGGCAATAGATCTGAAACAAGACCTGTATTAAAGCGAGTTGACTCTGGATTTATTGGTTTGTATTTCAATTAATTACAATTAAAAGTTACTTTTTATTAAAACAAACTTAACGTAAAACTAAAAGTAATAATAAAACTATAAACTTTCAATTAAAACTTTTATAATTACAATAATAAAACAATTATACTTTACAACAGAATCGAGACCAACTTTAGCCGTCAATAGCGTATTAAACTCAATAGAAAACAACTGTAAGTAATATTAGTATAAAAAACATCCAGATCAAACATAAAATAACCTTGATCACTAAAAAAAATCTACCACAATGGCACAGCCGGATGGCTGGACAGCTACGTTATGGACGATCCCTACCTCACTATAAACAGTAAACTCCGGGCACTTCAGCGGCGACGGGAAAAACAACGGCAGACAGATCTCGAGGTCAATCGCCAGCACCAGGAGGTTCAGGACCAGCACCCGGACCCTCAGGCCCATCAGTCAGAGCACCGGTGGGCGATCACTGATAGGCACGACGTGTTGGACTTTTTGAACAGCCAGGAGTCGCCGCCAGTCGATGTCAGAGCCCGTGCGCCGGCGCCCGACCAAAAGCGTAACCCTATGCGCGATGTTTACCGGTTTATCGCCCGGCGAATGGTCAGCAACAGTCGACGTACAGCCGCTTCCACCGATCCATTACTGCCTGATGATTGCATAGGTATTGCTCACATGTTTATGATAAACAGTGCATTAATTATCGTACACTATATACGTGGGTAGCAGACTGGCCAGACAACCTAGATGATGAGCACCCGGTGGACAATAGAAGAGATGACTGGCAGTCAAACACAAACAATAGCACCAAACCTGATGGTCAATCGCCAGAACAATTCACTACAACTATATGTGAAATACCAACGTATGATAGATCTGAAAACACCATAAGCTGCTGGTGGGGACCCGTCAGCCAATGTCCACCGGATCTGAGAGCACTGACAGACCAGATGAGCACCGGGACTGTAGAGGGGGACGGTATGACCCGTTCCCATACCTTAATGTATAAACTACTGGTGCGGGAGTGGCGACGGGCGGCAGGGGCCGGGATGTGCCGCATAGAGTACATGTATCACACGTTAGACATCCTACTTGCAAAAGGCGTTACAGTGATATATTGTACTGAGCACCGGGTTAGGTGCAAACCCCGGGTAAACATCGTGGTCTTTGAAGCACATGTGTCGGCCCTCAAACGGTTTATAGCAGCTATTAGTGGGGCTAATAAAACGATGTCGGTTGGGGTTCAGGTGGAGTTGTTAACTGCCTTAGAGTGGGTGGTTTACGCCCAGTGCCAGTACAGGCCGGCTGTGGCCGATGTGATGGACTCACTGTTCCGTAAGGGTGTGGCGGAGGCCGCGGCCTTTGCCGAGTGGTCACTTGCCGACAGCCCCCGACCCAATGATAAGGGATTATTAATTAGTGAAATTAAAGCTGCTGGTTTTAATCTAGTTAAACGGTCGCTCTCAGTTTAACTTGATAACAGTTATTAGTAGTTGGTAGTTATGTTAATAGTTATTTAACATGATTAATTTTGTTTGAACCATTAGTGCAATCTGTTTATTTAAAATGTAATTATTGTTTATAATTAATTTGATTAAACTTATTAACATTATTTAAAAAGCACAGCATACTTACAATGTTTATCATTTAATGATAATTAACACTTCCTATAATATAGGGGGTATCCCATGAACCATATGCTTATTTTAAATCATGTTTAAAATGATCTAATATTAAAGTGTAAATAGTGGTAAAATCATTATATTTTAGTATTTAACAAAACATAATTTTTAAAAATTGAATTATTGTTTATTCAGTTTGTTTGTCATATTGTGTGTCATTATTGTGTATAAAATAAATTTTTATTTTACTTAAATTTAAGATAAATGTGTGAATTAATATTTTAACAAAAGTTTTCAATTTCTGAAATAAAAAGCGACATAGTTTAAAATTACACGTTTTTATAAATTTGAAAATTATAATTATCGATTTATTATTTATAACCAGGGATCGTCATGTTAAAATGCAATACAATGTAGTAACTAGTAACTAGAGATAGTACTGTATGTGTTATAAGTATAGCGATTTATATGCAGATTCATATTTGATAGCATTAATCATGCTATTACTAAAGTATAACCTCGCTATAAAATAGTGGCTCTATAGTTCTAATGGTTTATGAGTTCTAATGTATGATTTAAGGGTTTATTTGTTCAACTGAAATGATACCGTAATTATGCAACCCAATATAAAATACAAACCAGCAGTGCTGATAATGATTCCAATAAAAAGAATACTTTACTTTACTTTACTTTCTAATGTAATCTTTATTTCATAGCTTAGCTCGTAATGTGATTTAATTCAATTAAAGTATTTATTAAATGTTTACAAATAATTGTCATAACAAAGCCATATATTAAATGAAATGCTTTAGAATTGCATAATTGTTTCCAATGGTTTCAATGATTATTACAAGTCATTTTAAAAGTATTGAATTAACGAGTGTATAATCACATAACAAGTAGTGTAATTTAGCATATTTATTAATTTTACATAATAATTAATGCCACAAAATTATTACTATTATAATTGTAAAAAGTAAATTTATTATATAACGGCATCAGACCAATCAAATATTAGTCGACACTTGAAAATGACGTCAACAGGTAACAAATAACTACTATAATTTTTCTCAACGTATAATTTGTAAAATTATTTAATTCATAAGAAGTACTTTTATCATTGTTTATTGTACACATTTTATTTTTATACAATATTTACAGTTTCCAATAAGGAATTAAACAAAAGTATTTTTGAAACTATTTTTGAACAGTCAGTGCCGATAGGGAGGGGAGGTTTCGGTGAAGTGTATAAAGTGAGGCATATATTAGAACAAGAGGTGTACGCGGTTAAGATTGTAAAGTTCCTTGGTAAGTTATATTCTATTAAAATATAATATTATATTATACTTGTGTTAATCATATAACTAATACACAAGACATTTGCTTTAATATAGAAGTGTATGAGACTTTGAGAGAGTGATTTTTTAGGGGTGACTCAAAAACACTGTGACACTATACACTACTACCACCTATTACACCGTAGCAAGTGCATTACCAACATCCCTGGACGCAGTTACCCCGATCACAAGCGTGAATTGTTTAGCAACATAATACAACTTTTCTTGAAAACCGTTGAAAACAACAAAAGTTGTATTGTGTTGCTACACAACTCACGCTTGTAATAAGGGTAACTGCGTCCCGGGGTGTTGGTAATGCACTTGCCAAGCTGTATACTGACTATAATTCAATTCACAATAAACGTTACGATAAACGATTCGAACTACGATAGCATTACAGGAAAGTAGAAAGAGAGGGGGTGGGTTTGAGTAACAATGTCTGTACTGTACGGGGGGTGTCCAGGGGGTTGTTATTATATAGGGGGTTGTCCACTAATCGGGAGGATGACCTCGTAAATAATTATATTAATGACATTAATGTTTAACGGATATTCAATAGCGTTATATTTATATAA